TCAATCAGGATGGTTCCGCTACAAAAACAAATCTTCAAATAAAATGCAAAAACACATTTATATTTCAACAAAGTTACGCAATGAAATTATTTTTTTATTGTCTTAACCCGAAAATAATTTTTTTCTAAAAGCCGCGTATGTAAAAATGTCATATAATCTGAATTTATTTTTACTGTTCTGAATATTAAGAAAACTACTTTCCTTTGCATAAAAACACATAATTTATTTTTATTTACTGAAAATTAATCTAAACGCAATATTGACCAAGTTTGGTTAGATTTCCTTTTGCAAAGTTGTTTTTTGGTGTATTTAATTATGGCAAAGCACACTAGGGCTATTCGCCTAAGAGGAGGATGCCTTCGTGGAGGACTTTCTAAGGAAAACTGGCTCGTATACACGTTACACATGGGGAAAACCACGAAAACACCCATGCAGCTAGCCCGTTCGCGAGATTCGAACGTCGGACCGAACTACCAGGGTTCAGCGACTTTACCACTCGGCCGCTGGTGGGCCCTTTTGCAAAGGAGTATTGGTTAGGGGTAGTAGGTGTGTAAAGAAAAAAATACCGCGGAACCTAATTGCTTTTCTACTAAAGCAACCTCATACCTCATATCAACCTTTACCTCATATTTGTCAAATTAGGCAATTTCATATATTACTAAAAACCAAAACCATTTACCAAATAATGCACAGAGACATGCCAATGAGGTCATGAGATGTATTGAATCAAATGAAAGAAATGTGTATCGTATGTTCTTTGCCTTACAAAGAAATTATTTTTCATTGCAAAGATTACAATCGTCACGTACAATCATTTAATTTAATCATGTCATTTATATAATATATATATATATATATATATATGACTCTTCATTTTGCACACTCTTGTGCAAAATTCAGAATGTCAAATGATTTGTTTTTGGAATGCTGATGTTTGAGGATTCGTTTTTAGAATGTCGAAATGATGAATGATTCGTTTTTAGAATGTCAAATGATTCATTTTTAGAATGTCAGTTTGCAACAATATTGAGGCAATGTATATAAAAACTGATTAGGAAAGTGTTAAAAGAACTGCTTCAACTGATAGCGAAAGTAATGCAGAAAAATTAATGACGTGTCTTCATAACCGAATCTAAAAAAGTGCTGTAAATTGTAAAAAAAAAAAAAAAAAAAAAAAAAAAAAGTTCTTGAACTGAAAGGTGCTTATCTAAAAAGCTGTCAGCAGTTAAACGAATTTGGAATACAGTTAAAATAAACTGTTGAACAACAATATGAAACAAACACAGATAAAATGGTTGTTTGTAGGAGATAAAATTTCATCGTGAACTTAATTACAATTATTTTTTTATAAAAAAAATTACAAAATGAATTTAAAAATCACGTAAGTAGTTTAATTTTAGTGTTAATCTTTTAAATTACTATTTGTTACTAGTTGTTACTAGTTGTTATTTAACTTGAAAAGTGTACAGCTGATAGATATCACAATTTATAACATGCAATCACAATTTATTAAACTCAGCCTATTAATAAACTCAAATACTTTTGGAACGCTTGTCATTATATTAAGCGGCGGGTACCATATGTTCAAGACATTTTTTTGTTTATCTGTGACAGTAAAATGCATCCTGGAATTTGGCAACTTGAATTTATACACAGAGTCTCTCAGAATAAAGTCGTCCTGTATATACATATTAGTTTCAAGGGTAGGTAACATAAGAAGCCGCCTAGGGCGTTGGTTTTTGGAGGGTACAACTTAAGTTGTTTCCACCAGTGGCAACTAAATAAAGATATATTTTGCTCTAACTTATTAATACATTCAGTTTATGTGGTGTTTCAACCATGATGATCGTCTTGTCTGTATTGCATTGAAAATGCTAGAGCCAGGAATTTAGTAGTGAATAAAATCAAAATACTACATAAGTAAATTAGCAGCAAATTTAAATTTATGTGAAACTCAAGGAACAAAAGGGTCCAGATAACTGTAGTTATAATGTATATTTTTGATGTAAATTTATTGCTGTTATATCTTTTTCGTAAAAACTTTAGGTTTTTTTTATATCGATTTCAAAATTCACAGCAAAAGCGCAGATGAAAATATATATATATTTTTCTATTTCTTTTTCTTCCTTAGGATTTTCATTTTTAAATAAAATAAACACAAAAATTATTTTCCTAAATATACTTAACAATGTAATACAACTATTTTAAAATGTCTCAAGGTGTTGGTATTTAATATTGAAGGAAAAAAGGACTTAATTATGAGATTTGGAAATAACTCCAGGGCATAATGGAAAGCACTTTTAAAATTATTTTATTTCACTTCGAATATTAAATAGTTGAATTACGCAAAATTTTAAGCTCTTATTTCAATTTCATCTCTGTATTTTCAAGTTTATTCATACTTGTCATGAATAAAACTCGTTTGATGAGACATAACAGAATTAAAAATTTGCCTGAGACGCTTTCCGTTTCCATATTTGTTACGAAAACATTTTTGAACCCACATCAGAAATTTTAAATGTAAAATTTGTAAAATAATTTCAGTCATCCCAAGAAATGCTTTATATAAGGCATCAAATACTAAGTTCTCTTATAAATATTGTTACGAAAGTACAGGCGCGGTGAGATAGCTTCCCCGCAAAGCAGTTTTAGGGTTGCCATAAAATGGCAAGGGAAGGCAGGGTTGCCACATTTGGCGACGAAATTGGCGATGTACCATGGACGGATGGAGAACCTTCTGGAACGAATTCTTACCGATTTAGCCCAGAATGTTCTCGAACACAAGCCAAAAGCTATATAAACCCTGCTGGTCCGCGGTCAGTTAGTGTGCGTCTCTCATCGAGAGAGCGTGTTGAGCTCCGGAAACGACTGAACCGAGAGTCAGGAGCTGTGCTCTGTGTGTCGTCGAGTGCAGCGCGAGTTGTAGCGTGGAGAGTCTCGAGAGTACGTGGAGTTCCGAGAACGACCAAGCAGATTCGGAAGCTGTACTCCCAAAAGCAGAGTCGGGTGCTTTGCAGGAAGCTGTCTACACCGTGATAGCCTGAAGGCTGTGTCGCTGATCGTGTCAGCGTGTTTATAGTAGTTCATCGACGACTGTAAAACGTGTTTTGGAGCTGTCCTGACAATATTGTCTAAATAAAGTGTGTTTCACTACTTCATCAAGTGTCGTCGTTATTCACTCCAAATCTACGAAATCCGTACGAACGTGAAGGAAGAAAATAACGTAACAACTGGTGTCAGAAGAAGAGAAAACCGTAACAGTATTTTAGTAGTTTAATATAGCTTCTGTTCTCAGAGCATTTTAAATATATTTAAACAAACGCCCACCCCCAAATGAATAATTTTTAGATTTTTTTTCCCCGTTAATACTGTGGTTTTAAAGGAATAATGTATAGGATTGTAAACCAATGAAATGTAATGATTAATGAATCAAGGTAAATAATTCAAGAAAGCACAAACTAAGAAGCAACGAACAATGCAAAATGCAAATAAAAGTTTTTTTCTCAAATTTTGAATTTGTCATTCTACTGCTAAAATGTACATGTAAAACCTATCTAATAAGGTAATTACGAATTTCTCTTTTTATTCAGTGCTTAGTAAAAATTCTTGAGAGTTTATTCCAAATAATTTAAATTATGTACGCTATAAAACAGACGATTAATTATTAGCCCAAAGGGCCAATTTGCCCAGAAAAGCTGTAGTTTTCGTTTTAGCATTTTGCGTCATCCACTATAAAAAGGCTTTTCAGTTTTCAAATTGTTGCCACCAAATAATTCAGCCCTGCATTATAGTTAAAGAAATTAAATAATGAAGAATATGCATGAACATATGTCGGTTTCTCGCATTGTGAAAAGAAAAGGTACCTAGAGACATCAAATTTTGAATAACGTAGTCCTCCACTTGAATATGGGCATCTGAAAGCCCAAATATGGAATTTGTTTTATTATCTTTTTCATATTTTATAAAATTTTAACGAATTAACAAACTTAACGATTTCAAAGCGAGCAATGGCAACACTGTACGAAAAACAAAACAAAACGAAACAAAAAAATCACCGACGCGCAAGACTCTGAATCAGAAATGCTAAAGATATGCTCATTTAATAATTATTTGGCGATATTTCTCTTGAACTAAAACGTTAAAAAAACTCCCTTTAGGGTGTAATATAAAATCTGAAAGCTTTCAGATTTTTTTTTTTTTTTTTTTTGGCTTTGTTTCTTAAGAAACTGCAATAAATAGAATTAAATAAAAAGTCTGTTTTAAGTAAGCTGCAAATATTTTCAAAAGTAAAATAAAACTTTAGTTGAATTTACGAATAAAAATTGAATTGAGTTAGAAAAATCATTTTATTCTTACTGACGAAGATAAAAGAAAACGCATTTAATAGCCTTTTCGAATATTCCTAGATTTTACGTTATGCTACGAAACACTTTTAAGATTATTTCATCCCTTTGCCTCAGTACCGAAGAAAATACATTACCAAATATTTCATTAATTAAATATATAATTACAGGTCAGCTATCCTGGAATTTTTTCGTATATGTTACCCTAAAAATTGCTGTTGCCTTATAAGAGAAGGAAAATTTAAATTAGTATTATAATTTCCGAGAAATTTATTTTAAATATTTATGATTCCATCTCTCTGAAAAATACTTCATTAATATTTATTTGCTGTCTTGTTCTATTTACAAACTAATGAGAAATGTAAATCTGAAATCATGTAATCGAAATGCCTTCTGCTAAATCTTTAGATTAACAAAACAAATTTTTCACCTGATATCAAGTTAGTTTTCGAAAACAAGACAAAATTCAACTCCACATCGATGTTGGTTTCTAAAATAAGGAGAATTTTCTTACGAAACCAGTCTCAGCCTAATACTGAACTTTACCTAATTTTAAATATTCCAAATTGACATGTTTCTATTCCATATTTTAAGGCAGTTCTTTGGTGAAAACATTGAGTGCCGCTATGGTTATTGATGATATAATGAAAATCTTACCCTGAGCTTGTTGTGAAAGGATCTCCCATAGGTCCCGATCCTGAGAATGTCTGATAAGGTGGAGGGTACATCATGGGGGGTGGCATCCCATAAGATGGATAAGGTGCAGCCGCAGCCATCATTGGATACCCTGACGATGAATACGAAACAGAAGTTGATGGTGGATAAGGAGCTGCTGACATAGCCGGTGGTGGTGGCGGCATCTGTTGCATGGGTGGATACACCATACTGCTAGTGCTACTACTTGCAAAAGGGTTTAATGGTCCATACATGTTATAAGGAGGTGGTACTTGCTGATACTGTGGTGGTGGTGGCAATGGTGGTGGCATTTGCGCTGCTACCATCATCACTCCAAACACGGAGACTAATAATCCAGTAACTGGGAACATTTTGGAAAAGCAACTGGAGAGGAAAGTTAGTGTTGCCATCTTATATAGAAAAAGGAATGGGAGGAAAAAGCCAGCGAAATTGGAGCTATATCCCAGTTACGCAACCGTAACGGTAACGAATTTGGGTTGGAGATGCGCTGAGTTTGTTGTAGCATGGAGCAATTTTTCTTCGAGAAACAGGTCAAGATGCATCCTCTTTTTTATCGCTTTGTTTTTTAATTTTGTTTTCAAGGTCTCTTTCTTTTTTAAATGGCGTGGTTTGTAAGTAATAATTTGGGGTCGCAAGAGAAGTTTTGTATGTTTGTCGCCCATTTTTCACTTAAACCCTTTCTGTTTCCTTTTACATCGGGTTATAGATAGATATAAAACATGTCAGGTTTTATTTTTAGATTATTTACTTTTCAATGGAAAAGATTTCAACTGACTTTGCGACTGACTCCTTCGGAAGTTCTTTTATAAGCGGATTTTTTTAGTGTGTAATTTATCATAAATTATTAAGATATCATAAACTATAAGATTATGATTGTTAAGATATGAATTACTAAGATGTAATAAATTATATGATTATAATTATCATAAATTTCGGATTAATTATAAGAATTATAAGAATTTAAAAAGAAAGAATTATAAGAACAAATTTAAAAATAAAAATGTTCTTTAATGATCGAAATTTTCCTTTCATAAAAAGTGAGAAAATTATTATTTATGGAAAGTCATTTAATCCTTCCATTGAATTACAACAATTATTAAATGTAATTTAGAAATCATTTATATAAATTTCTAGATCCTAATATAGGTAAATAAAAGCTACATAATAAACAAATGAATTAAATGCATCTTAAATTAATTATTTGTAATTATTAGCCCGAATGTGCGTTAGTTCAGAAGGGCTGTTAGTCTCAAAATGGCATTTTGTGTCGAATGACTTTAAATGCCTGAATCATTTTTTAAACTGTTGCCACCAAATATTATCGTCCTGTATTATATTTAAATAAACTAAATAATGAAGAGTTTACATGACTGCATGTATGTGTATGTTTCTCGCACTGTTAGAAAATAACGGTACCTAAAGTCATCAAATTTTAAGAATATGGGCACCTAGAAGGGCGAATTTGGAATTTGTTTTATTGTCTATTTCATATTTAGTAAAACATTAACAAATTCTTGATTAAAAACTCCAGAATTTCAAAGCGAGCAGTGGCAGGGAGCACTGTACAAAAAAAAAAAAAAAAAAAAAAAAAAAAAAAATTATTTCCAGCGCGCGAGACTGTCTATCAGAAATTCTTATCTTTGGAGATATGCTGCTTTTAAATATTTTAGCACAATGTAGGGTTAGCTTAAATGCTCTCGAAAGATGTATATGTCTGTAAATGAAAAAAACGCTCCTTTCAGCTTGATATAACATCTGAAGGCTTTCAGATTTTATTTTGTTTCTTTCATTAAACCTTTTGTGGTATTTAACAGTTATATGAGAAGTATACATTTTATTTATTACTCTCAATAAGTAGATAGGTAATTTATTTAGTGAAACACACCTAAGGCAATATGCCTTCATAAAGGTATGGTATGTGGGAATAACCGGGTAAAGCCATGTACTGGAATTGTTCAAAAACCAAGTATCTAAAGCCACCAACACAGTACCATTGCCACCACCACCATAGTATCAGTAAGTACCACCTCCTTATAATATGTATGAACCATTAAACCCTTTTGCAAGTAGTAGCACTAGCATATGGTGTATCCACGCATGCAACAGATGCCACCACCACCACCGGCTATGTCAGCAGCTCCTTAGAACAACTTTATCCCTGATTATATAAACATTTTTAATTAAATTTGTTATTAAGTGTACCAAAATTTTTAGGTAAATTTATTTTTAGCAGTATGATGTATTCACCCATGCAACAGATGCCACCACCACCACCGGCTATGTCAGCAGCTCCTTAGAACAACTTTATCCCTGATTATATAAATATTTTTAATTAAATTTTTTATTAAGTGTACCAAAATTTTTAGGTAAATTTATTATTGATTATACCAAAAATCTTTTAAAGAAAATTGTGTTTTTTAATTAATGTTTTTAAAAAAACTTTAAAATCTTATCTAAAGATAAGCTAGGCCAAGGATTTGTTTTAGTGATTTTATCCATTCGTCTGCTGGTGAATTTAACTTTATCAAGTGCACATAAATATTTCTTTTCAAAACATTTATGTATATTTACTAACAATGAGTTAATGGATATTGATAGTTATAGAAGTATTCGCAGAGCACATTCTAGCTATAATTTTTTTAAATCAGATTCAAAGCAACATCTTTTCATTTTTGGATATTTTTCCAATGTAATAAAATACCCTTTTAATACAATATCTATTTTTGCATATTTTGAAAGCAAATAACAAATTGATATTAAACTTGTAAGCAGAGAGCATACAAATTACCATTCTGCAACCGAGTATATAATATAATATGCCCATGCAAATCTGTTTTATTCATTTTAATGGTACACATATTTATTAAAATTTTTTAATTAAATTTATTATTGATTATACCAAGGTATTTAATTAAATTTATTATTGATTATACAAACATTTTTGATTAAATTCGTTATTAATGGTACCAAAATTTTTAGGTAAATTTATTATTGATTATACCAAAAATCTTTTAAAGAAAATTGTGTTTTACTTCCTTGTACGATGTAAAAAGGAAGTAATGTAATCGCGAAAAGTTTCAGGCAGCATATTTCAACGAAAATATCCATTTTGACCGCTATCGAATGCAATTTAACGATGTTTTTGCGTGATATCTGTACGTAAGGACAGAATAAAATACACTTTTCCTTCAAAAAAATTATAAACTGCTTTAAGGTTAATTCCGAAGAGAATTTTTCGTGGCGTCTGTACGAACGTATCTACGTACGTATCTCGCATATCTCAAAAACGAGTAGCCTCAGAACGTTGAAATTTTGTATACAGGACTGCTATAACATGTAGATGTGCACCTCGTATTTTGGTTGCAATCGGCCGCACCAAACGTATATAAATATGTTTATATATATATCCACTCTGTTACCCGGCTCAGTGATCTCAGTTTCTTTTCTCTTATATGTTTGTAAATTGTACATTTTTTTTCTTTAAAAATGATTGACTTATGTTGTTTTTATCTTCCGGTTAAGGATTTTATGCTTTTAGTAAATCTGTGTGCAATATTTTTAGAATTATCAGCAATTTTAAAGTTGTTTAATTGCCGCTAAGTCTTTTTATAATGGCGGCCATTGATGTTTACATTTGAAACAGGAGACTAGTGGATTTGTTGCCAATCTAGAGAAACTTAGCTTTGCAACAACAAAGATAACGCATTCATTTATTATTGCCAATTAAATCATGCTTAATCCTTTCTGGAATTTTTTCGAGGAAATAAGTGTTTGAGATTTACTTCGTAATTTTTAATATAGATATTGAGTTTTTATGTATGCCTTCTCGCGAAGTGAGAACTGAATTAATTAAATGAGAAATACTCAATCGTCTGTGAAAAACTGTTTGTTTTTTGTTTTGTTTGCTTAATTTCTTTTATACATCATTCCAGATTTATTATAGTATTCGAATAGAACATGTGGCACCGATTAGATAATTCTATTCTTTAAATGATATAAATTGTGTGCATTATGAGTTATAATATGAACGAAATGTATACGTTAACTGTTATATAATTATTGGATTATATAACAGTTAACTTAGATTCCGTTATATAATTATTATATAAGTTAACTGTTATATAATTATTAATACTGTTAAGTGAATCTAGCGCCAGAGTGTCGCTACGGTAAACAAATACTAGAGTGAATTTTAATAAATGCGTTTATTCTATTGTGGTTTATGCGCTATCGGCGAAATAGATTTCATTCAATCCAATAAGTTTAAATGAAATGCAAGAAAAAATGCGTATAATTTAATATTCCAATTTATTATTCCAATACAAGGAAGTCATGTGGTGTGCACATCAGATTTTTTTAATTGATGTTTTTAAAAAATGAAATAATGACGAAAATATTAAAAAATAAGTACGCCGTTTTGTCTCAATATAGTGTATTAACGCTGCTAAAATGTGAATGGTAATTAAAGAACTTTGCCATAGTAGTGGCAGAATCCGTTCATATTGTTATTTTGCTAGAAAAATTGAATTAAACTCTTCTTTTGTAAAACTGGCAGTAGCTATTAGAACTGTAAATTAATCTGGCCACGTGATTAATATTGTTGTTATAACGTAACATAATGCAAAGTTACACACTAAAATAGAAAAATTGGACACTAGATATTTCTAACAATCAAAATTAAAATATGGTACTTGATCTTCAAATTATATTTAAAATCCTTAGCCCCTGTATTTGCAACCATCTGAAATATGCATATTTATCAGTTGTAAATGTGGAATTTTCCTTTTTCTGTGCTTTCAAATTATTTCAGTTAGAAATGCCATTTCCTTTACCTGACAAATACAGATTTTGTTTGCTGTATTTATTTTAAAGGCATTAGCTTAAGGATAAGCGGTTACAGTTTCGGGAAACAATATAACAATTTCTCCCAGAACATTTAATTAATTTAACTGTCAGATTGAACATTATGCTTAGCCCATATCCATAAATCTTCACATAAATGACGCACCTTGCGCCCACATAAAATCTGTTGATGGATATCAGCATGTTGATAGAGAGTTGCACGAATAAATTAAGAGAATAAAGGTCTGAAAGTCAGCGCATGAGGTTAGAAGTATTTTAGCGCTAACTGGAAACGTGTTAATAATTTGGAGGAACATTCATTATTTTTTGACAGCTTATTTTTTGACGTTTTCCGATATTCTTTAAGAAAGATTCACAAGATTTTGTTGAATAGCTTATAAGGTATTTCTCCTGCCTTCGTGGTGTGATGGTCTGCACGCTGGGCGCGTATTCTAGAGATCCGCGGTTCGATTCTCGGCGAAGGCGTTGCTAATTTTTCATCTTGCCTGCTTCCAAAAAAATC